GTCACTCAGGGGTCACTCAGCGGTCACTCAGTGTCACTCAGGGGTCACTCAGCGGTCACTCAGGGGTCACTCAGCGGTCACTCAGGGGTCACTCAGGGGTCACTCAGGGTCACTCAGGGTCATTGGGGTCACTCAGGGGTCACTCAGTGGTCACTCAGGGTCACTCAGGGTCACTCAGGGTCACTCAGCGGTCACTCAGGGTCACTCACCCGCACTGACCGCAGCGCTCCCTCGATGGTGGCCTTGGGCACGTTGTGGCCGCGGCACTGCTGGATCAGCGCGGCCAGCGCCGGGTTCAGCGCGGGCTCCGGGCCCCCCTCTGCGGGGACAGCTCCGTGTCGCCATGGCCCCGTGACGTCACAGCTGTCGCGATAGCTCCGTGTCGCGATCGCCCGCCAGCCCCACGTCACACCGGCCGCGTGTCGCGACAGCCCCGTGTCCCCGTAGCCCCATGTCGCGATAGCTCAACAGCTCCATATGCCAATATCCCAATATCCCGACATCCCGATATCCCCATGTCCCGACATCCCGATATCCCAGTGTCCCGATATCCCCATGTCCCGGTAACTCCATGTCCCCATATCCCGATAATTCCGTGTCCTTGTGTCGCGACATCCCGGTGTCCCTCTATCCCGACAATTCCATGTCCCGCTGTCCCCTCGTCCCCCCCTATCGCGACACCTCCGTGTCCCCTCGTCCCCCCCCTATCGCGACACCTCTGGCCGCCGCCCTCAGCATCTGCGTCATCCTCTGGAAGAGGCGGCTCCGCTCCGCGTCCCGCGGGCCCTTCACGTTCCGCACCTTGGACCAGCGGTTGTGTCCGGCCATGCCGCGGCCCGGCGGCACCGGCAGCGCCACCGGCAGCGGCCCGAGCGGCGGGGGGAGCCCCCGGCACCCCAGAACCGGGCCCGGCACCGCCCGGCACCCCAGAACCGGGCCGCGGCCTAGTCCCGGTAACCGGAGCCCCAGCGCCGCCATTGCGGCCCCGCACTTCCGCTTCCGGCGCGCCGCGGGGCGTGCTGGGTAGCGCCGTGATTTGCGTAGCCCCGCCCCGCCGGGGGGG